GTGGTGATGACTCACGACTGTTTGCAACAATGAGTTGTAAGTACCGTGTGCAGCCGGGTCCGTCGCATGAAGCGCTTACATAGAGGGGGAGGGGGGGGGCATTGACGCAGCGGTAAGCGCACTGCGCTATGAACCTGGCAGCATCCTGAGTTTGAATCCTGGCCATCGCTAACATCAGTGGGCAGAGTGATCTGAACCAGTCCCCGACGCCCTGCACTCTCTTGACCAATCCACACTGACCAGTGTGGTTAAAGTATGGTCAAACAACCTCACATGACCGAAACGGCGTGAGGCCTTCGTTTAATGGTGGATTGACAAATGGATGTAAATATAAATTATGTTCAACACACTGTGCTTTAATACTCACAATCTGAGTTAAACCTCTACTCCCATACACCAGTGGAAATTGGCATCTGAACATGACCTATGCTCTCTCGAGGTCGATAAAGCATTGCATGGATGCCTGTCATGGTGGTGGTGAGGTCAAAGTCACCTCTATGGAGACAAAGATTATGCACTCCCAGAAGGCCTTGCAAGTGGTGGGCTTTGTAAGAAATATTTTTCTTTATTTATATACGTGGAGACAGATGTGGAGACATGTTTTGCCTGTTATTTATATTCTCCAGAACGTATGTTTAACTTCTTTCGCTCCGTACCTGGCCAAATGTGTTAATGGGAGGTACGGAAATCAAACTTGGGTCGCCGAGTTCGTAATTCTTTACTTGCTAATCATTGAGTTACGTATTATATCATTTTCCATCTCACTGGGAGCTCATACATAAGGTGAGGTGTCCTTGATTGTAAGTTGTGCAGTTCACCATCATTCATGCAAGTGTAGTGTGCTAAACACATTCCTGCGGAGGGAGCTGGTAGGAACGTTGGGTTGCTCGGTCAATGGCCAGGGTCAACGGCGGCGTGGTGTATTCCGCAAATATGCCCGACTGTGAGGGCGGGCACAAGCCGGCGTGAGTAGGTGAAACATTGAGTTTTATAAGGGCACCAAGGGATGACCAGCCCCTCCCCACCCAGCCCCTCCCTGCACGACGGACGGACACAATAACCCCCTGTGGGCTGGTATAAGCAGGAGGTTCCTACCAGTATTAACAGACACTAGTAGGAGGTACTCTTTTATTCCGGCCTTCACAGCCTTAGGGGATAACCACACACCGGGTCGGCACAGCCAAAATGCTGCCAGACCCACAGCTTGAAGAGGGTGACAATCACAACGACGACGGCAGACGAGTTCTACTCCAGATCGCAGCAGCCCCGACTGTGAGTCGGAGCTCGCCTTTAACCTGCCCAGCGTGGCCAGGCTCCGCCCTCCGCCCCCCCCTGCACCCCTCTCGATCCCCCAAAGGGCTCCGTGCCTTGCCCACAGGTCCAACTGGTAGAACGGGCTGCTACCCCTAATTCCATTGTCTACCTATCTCCCAGCGACACGCGCTACAGTGACTCATTCAATGTCACGACACAAGCAAGCCTGACCATTGATGAGACACTGTTGAATCCGGTCAATAGTTTCCTTGTTTTGAAACAATGCTGCTGAAAGTTTGCCCTTCTAGAAAGCCGTGCGGCTGATGGGTTGTGTGTGATAGTTGTTTACATGGAGAGATGGTTTCGTGAAGGAGAGGTATTGCCCCTTATTTTATTTATATTTTCCACAAAGATGCTGGTGATTACTTTCAGCTATCCACCCTTTAGGTCGACACACCGTTGATTGGTTGGTCCCTGCTATGGTGGTGGTGAGGTTGTGGGGAGCGGTGGTGCAGCGTTAAGCACACTGCACTACGAACCCGACGACCCGAGTTCAATTCCCGCTCACAGCCAACTCCAGTGACCGGTCCTGGGCCTCCCCTATGTCTACTCAGCCTCAATTGAGTAACTAGTGCGATGTGTAAAATCATTGCTGCTCAGGAGACAAAGGCGGCCAAGCGTGGTGCTGGCCACCCACCCCCTCGTATTCCGTTCCAGCCTTAATAGGTGCCCGCTAACAGCACTTGGCCTAGCAATCTGTTAAGGCTATACGGGAGATCTTTGTCTGTTGGTGGTGAGGTTTTATGGAGACAAATGCATGGACATGGGTGATGCTGGCCACACAACCACCCTATAATTTGCTGCTTTATTAGCTACTCGCTAAGTGTTTGCATTTGAATGAAAAAAATATAGCATTTGCAAAAAGTGCTCCTGCTATAATTGTTTTCCATTGTAAGAGTGTACAAGACAAATGTGTTGAGTTGTGTGTTTTTTTAATACGAGGAGTTAAATGGGAAATGCGTCGCCTTGGGGAGGCTTTTATCCAGCGGCAGTGTTTTGGTTGCGCTCAGCTGCACCTGACTTCAAGGCTGAAAAACGACGAAACTTTCGGTCAGGAATAAAGGCAATTACACGTCCCACGTGTTTGGCAGCATGCGGTGAGGATGTGCGCGGTGGGAGTGCAGGACATAAAAAAACGCTCTGGAATGTGCAACTTTATACGCTTGAATGAACTATATCTTTGCATGCGTGAGTCACACGACAAAAAGGCACAAACCTCTCTGGCCACCAGCTAATTTGAAAACAAGTCAAGGGACTGCGTCCCAAGTTTTCTGAAGAAAAAAAACACACAAAGCGAATAGACTCACAAAGCAAAGTTGCTTACACGCGAGACGAATGGAACAGAGCAGCCCAGCACTGGCATCGTAACAATCGCTGTCACGACGCCTAATTTAAAAGTCCAGGCCACTTCCGGCCAGGTGGCGCTGTGCCTAAAGCACTTGGCCTCTCAATCAGATCGTGGACAAAATTATAACTTTGTTGAAAGTCAATAATCATTGACATGAATGGACCGGCTCCCACCATGAGAACGGGTACTTCTCACCAACGGTTTGAGCGGTGCCAGGTTAAGGTATCTTTGCCAATGGCATGCACTCCAAAGAACGCGATAAAGTCTAGCATTGCTTAATAAAGAAGTCAATGTTCTTTGTTGTTCATGGGCCCCTCTGGAGTTTTGGGCACTGGACTAATGCCCCCCCCCACCCCCATTTGCCCACTCTTCCCCCCTGTCCCAAAATCTGGCCCTGTGCTTACAGCAGTCACAAGCGGAGACGTGCGCTGGTCCTACTGCTGGTTTGGATGGGGCAAGAGTTAAAGGTGCAGCCGTGCAATTGCTCGCTCGCGGCACTACTGGTGGAGGGGCATCGAGTAGAGGGAGCTCTTGAGGTCATTGGCCAACTCTTCCACAGTGGCCAGAGAATTTGTAAGAGGTGGGTGTACCCACACTGTACCCCACCACCCAGCCTGTCGATCGTCTCGTGTACTCATGTACACTGGTGGGTGGACACAGGCGAGGGTAATTAAGAACCTTGGCCATTGTTCTAGCTTTTAACTGTCTCGCCATTGTGCTAACCATGGTTTGAGTCGGCATTTCAAAGCAGTCGGAATAATTTCCAAACTCCATTGTTCACACCCCCCACCCGTCCTCCACATCTTGATCTCTCATTTATGTGTACCAATGTCCCTTAAAATGCAAATGAAGTTGTTACACATTGCACGTGTCTAATGAATGGCAAGATAATTTGCATTGTGATGGGGGTATTAACCCCCAAGAATGGAATTTGAGGTAACCCTGACATGGTTCACAATAGAGGTGACTCACTCCTTAGCACTGTGACCAATTTCAATTGGTGGCTTAATCATCACACACCCAACTTCCTTACACAACCACATCTCAAGGAGTTCCCCTCAGTGACACAAGCAGTCCCCACCGATTTCACATAAACACTGAATGAACACGCGCTCCAATCTTATAAAAGATGTAGTGGCCGAGTTGTTTTTTTTAACTGGTGCTGGGTGGATAGTGACATCGTGGAATTGTTAGAGGTGTCAGCGGCTTGGGGAGGAGAGCCTTCATTCAGCAGTGACTTGACAATGGCAGACGATGACAATGATGAAATACATTCCAGCTATCTTTGCAAATATTTCGGTAACATTTTGAACAGGCTTCATCAAACACCAGTTAATTATTCACACCTTTGTTTTTCACTTTGTGTTCGGACCATGGGACCTGCCATAACAACGTGGAATTCACCTCTCGCCCACCAGCAGAGATGAGTACAGAGACATTTCCACAAACTGGGAGCTGGAAATGGAAACGTCAGTTATTTATACATTTTCAACACGAAATATATGCAGTACCTGGGCCCCTACCCAGTACATGTGGAGTTTCTACTATTAGCTCAATGCGGCCAAGGTTTTATGGTTGCTGCCATTTGTCCTGGTGTTTGCAGGTAGCCGTCCTGAGAAATCTGTAAGTCTTACTGGAACAGCTGTGTAATAATGCACCATTAAAGCAAATGCATTGACGTACAGTTCTCCCCTTTTCCGGTATCGCGAAATATTACCTTTCATCCCATGGTATGTTCTGGCTTTTATACCTCAGAAGTGGCAACCATAGCCAGGGCAGATGAGCACCCAACTCATGCTTGGATAAAGATACTTCGCACTTCTGCTCTCCGCTCCTCTTGCCTGTTCGCTCGGGGACGGTACACATTATTGTATCTTCCAGCCAAATCAACTTTGCATGAAGAAAATATGGACCAAGATCACTCGGAGTGTCTCCCTGTCCCCACGATAATTGTCCTCTTTTTTACGTAGCTGTCCTGATTGATCTGTAAGTCTTTGAAGAACATTTACAACGGCCCACCCACCCACGGCACATCACGTCCCCGATACAAAATTGTACAAGCAGACACGTACGTGCTGATGGGGAGTGGCGTGAGTGTGCGGAGGCAGGGAGGGCTTTCCGCTATATTGTGTGGCTCAAGTGAGTTGAGGACCGGTGAGGGGTGAGGGTCAGCAGTGTGGTGAATGTCTGACCAGGGTCAGGTGAGTGCCATACCAGTGTCTTGTCACCCTGTCCATAGGACGACCTGCCTGTTAGTAAAGTATATATATACATACATAAGGGATGAGTGATAGGTTACATTTGTTTGAGATATTGGATTTTTTTTGTTAGGCCTGAATTTAAGATTTTATTTAGTTTTTATTTATTTAAATGTATTACATTGCAATAACACATTCATTGTTTATGAACCAATCGTAATTATTGAAGTATTTAACATTTTTATAGTTTCATATATTTTTTCCCACAAAGTTACATCAGTCTAATAATTCAAACATAACAAAAGAAAGGTAATATTTTAATAAATTAAGCAAAAGTGGCATCACCCGTAGGGGGCGATGTGGCTATGTGGTTTTACCCAGTGAGGTAGAATGTATATTCTCATTTGGACCATGACACCTCCACACACAATGACCTACATAATGGGGGTGACATCACTTCCGGTTACCTTGCAGTTTACAATCAATCCGAAATGAAAAAAAAAAATTCCGGATCATCCGTAATGTCATATTTAGGCCAGATTTCTTGGGTATTTTTGGAAAAAATACAAAATCCGGTCACGCATCCCGAACATGCGCGTGCACCTATTTCCTGGCCGTCGCCTGGTTCACAGGAGAGGTCAAGGGGGTCATCTCTCCATCCGCACTGCAGCTGCTATCCTCCCGGGAGTCACGGTCGATGAAGCTGTCGGTTTCGCACGATCTGCTGTCGTCTTCGTCATCTTCGATGAAGTGCAGCGTGGCCACGGCGTCTGACGGGGCGCGCCGGGCTGACACGTGAAAGCTGCAGCGTGGCTCGGGGGACGCCCGCCTCCACTGTGAGGCGTTGCGGGTGCACGTGGACGGCACGGCGGCGGTGGTGGCGGCGAGCGGGGCCAGCGGGTGGTGGGGATGGTGGCTCGACAGCTCTTGGTGGGGCTCCCTGCGCACGAGAGGAATGATCTCGCACGCCGCCGAATCGGTGCAGTGGCCTCTGTGGCTGGATCCCATCTGCGGCGAAAACGAACAATAAAAATATATTTCAGGGGCCACGAATTTAAAAGTCGTTTAGGTTTTCACATTTGTGGCTGTGTAGCTCTTTCATGCGCAGCAAGTGGGTTTGTAACATTTCTGTTTAGAAGGTAATTAATAAGATCGGCTGGCCTACATCAAAGACCTGCGGTAGCCGGTGACTTTATACAATCGAGGGAGAATGTGGAATAAATCCATTCAATTCCTGGAGAAGCTGCCATCACAACGGAGTTACTTAAATCTCCCCACCTGTCCACCCAGCAGAACACACATAGGCACACTACAGTTAGCCAATCGGCATTTGCGTTTGGTGGGGTAAAGTGTGGACACTCCAACCTTTTCCAAGACGTCTGGCCAGTGTGGTAGAGTAGGACAAATAACCCTCAGAGGGACTCTCTTGACCTCCCTCTCATGGAGACCCTTCTTGCCAGCAGTGAGGCGAGCAACAAATCGCAGGGCTGCACATGAATATTTTCACATTTCACAACTAAACTCACAACTACAGTTGGTCTTATTTTGTTTGCTTAGTGAGACTTAAAAATTGTGGTCAAATGCATATTTGAATCATGATAGCCCTTCAGTGACAGAAATGTGACATCACTCCCATACATTTCAATAAAATGTCCGTGCAGTATGCTTAACCTTCAAGTTTTTTCGGATCATTGGCAGGTGCCAAGAAAGATCTCTCATTTGGCTTTTTTAACAGACAGTTGGGACAAGTGCTGTTAGCGAGCACCTAAGAAGCCTGGCACAGCACCACGGTTCAAATATTCTCCAATGTTATTGGCCATGAGCGGGAATCAACTCGGGTGGCCGGGTTCGAAGCGCAGTGCGCTAACCGCTGCGCCATCGCTCCCCACAGGGGGCCAACAGACGACATGGCACATACACACTCTTGGGTTTCCCACAAAGCAGCGCTCATCTTCTAGAACTCCGGACGGACCATGTGCTGAGTGGAACTCGCACTCCTCTTCGACTACCAGTCGAGCGCCTGGAGCAGAACGACCTGGCGGGCCCGACCCAGGCACCCACGCTGCGCACACCGCGAATACTTCTGCCCCCACACGACACCGAGATTTTCAAATCTGGATTGGTCGGTGGTTGACTGAGAGCCTCTCATCGTCCCTTCTCAGGGGTGGATGAAATGAGTGTTATTTCCCTCTGGGCGAACCCAAAGGTGGCCTCCAAAAGAGAATGTGGATTTCACCTGTGGGTGGTTCGGGGTCAGACCGATCAGAATATCTAGTTATACTGGAGGAATGCGATGAGCTATGAAGCTATTTTTCACAGATGTCTAGTAAGGGGTGGGTCAGAAACATACAACAATATAAAAAACATGATAAGAGTGCAAAGTATAGGAAAGGTAAACACATTTAACTTAAAAATACATACAAATAAAACCAAAATTTTTTTATCTTACCAGGTAAAGCCCACTGAGCTATTAACTTATCTTTCAGAAGCGACCTGGCCACAAATGATAGTTCAAATTTACAGCAGCAAAATAATCAAAATGTATGTATCTAAATGATGCACGGAGGGCACTGACATCTTCTACTCTTAACATTCTGTCGAGGTTCCTCTTGTTGTGTTACCTTGTGCTGCCCGACATGAGTTCAAAGAATCAATACTGTACTGAGAATTAGTGGCATGGCCCGTTGAGTGTGCAGGCGGCGCAATTGCACCAGGGACCCATGAATCAGAATCTTTATTCAATACTGGAGGAATCCAATGAGCTATAAAGCTCTTTTTGCACAGATGTCCAGTAGGGGCGGGTCAGAAGGTGACAACAACAAACAATACAAAAACACGATAGGAGTTCAAAGTATAAGAAAGGTAAACGAACAAATAAAAAATAAATGGAACTTTTTTTTTATTTCACCAGGTCAAGCTCACTGAGATATGAGCTTCTTTTTCAGGAGAGGCCCAGGCAGGCACCGGGCTACGATGAGGGTGGGCGGTGGACATTGAGCACGGGGATTCCTCCCCTCACCCATTGAATTGCTTGCGCACTAGTGCCCACGCCAACCATGCCACTCGATGATAGTGAAATGCTAGGTGAAATACCATGGTGACGTCGGACGTACTCGGACAAAATTACTGGGATGGTAACAGTGGACTCAGGCTCGCGCGGGTGTAACCCACCGACCTAAGCCATATTTTCTAAAACTCTCTATAATTATGTTTTAATCAACAAGAATACCACAATTCTTATCGTGGTAATTTTTTTACTTTTAACTGTGAGTTTGCAACATTTGCCTAATTTCTCATTTCCAAGAATGTGCGTGGGGACATTCACGGAATGAAACCACAACGCAAGAAAAGGAAAACATTTTACAAAAAACGGCACCCATTTTACTGGAACTGCGAGTGTGCATAGGCGTTATGGGATGTGCACCTGCTATTCTTACACATTCCGGAAGGTCGCCCATGTGCTTCATTTAAGTATAACATCATTCACATAAATGCTGCCAAAATCGCACCTAAAATCTGACGTCACACTGACAAAGAGTGGACGAAACCTTCGAGTTGTTGATCCTGAGCTCTTCGTTGCTGCAGCTCTCTCCTCTACGACGTTGCCGCATCCCTCACCTCCTCACGTCTGTCATCTCCCCACATCCCTCTTCTCCAATCTCCAGATAATCCAAAATGCGGCTTCGAGACTTCTCACACGCCACAGTAAACAATAAATACCACGTCGCCTCGATCCTCCAATCCCTCCACCGACTCCCAGTCCGATTTCAGGTCGATTTCAAGGATCACCCTCGCCGTCTCTTCTCACTCTACTAATCTCTGGCATGTTTTCACTCGAGCAACTGAGGCTTTCTGTCAAAGCCCTCAACCATTGGCTCAGTGGGAGGTCACTTGTTCTCCTCTGCTGCCCCCGTGGTCTGGAACTCCCCTTCACCAGCCAACTTTAAATAATAAAAGGATTGTCAATGTTTTTATTATTTTTGCCATGATATGCCCTGTACCTCGGAGGTGGCATCCCGAGATACATATTCTTGGTTCTTTCGGTAAAGTCACGTAGAAGGGAAATAATAAAAAAATATAAATATAAAACAATAAAAATTATCACGACGTTTCGACTGCAACACAAGCAATCATCATCAGGTGTGAAATCCACAGCAAGAAAATTTGAAAAAAGTGGCGCTTTTTCCTAACGTCAGCACCACGGAGAGATACGTTGGGCAATTTAAAGCGAAAATCTTGAGAGCAGGCGGATTGATTGCTTATGTCTGAAGTAAATTATTACATCTGCCGCAAACGTATCTTTGACAGAGAAGGTACAATAAAAAATGTGAAAAGTCAACTATTAATTGAACCAGTGTGGGTTGTCCATTATGTATATATACGTGTTATCTCTAAAGCCACATAGTATTAAGGGACGTGCTGAGTGTTTTTGCTATTTGTACTTGTGTACCACTACCAATGCAGAAACGTAACTGAATAATGAGTGCTGTTACAAACATAAAATATTGGTGCTTAAGTTATTCCAATCAGCACCCACACATGCCACCCGAGATCCTGCCAGTGAGATAACGGCAAGTGAAAACAGGGGCCGCTGAACGGAAGTGGATCTTAGCTTTGCAACTCAGCATGAATGAAGAGAGACCCATAGTTTATTGTTCTTCCCCCGGACATTCTGATTATCTATGTATGGTGCGAAATAAGTTCAACACACATATATTCATAGACTCACACAGAGACCCATAGTTTGTTGTCCTTCCCCCCGCACCTCCTATTAGCACGGTTGGCTACGTACGGTGCGAAAAACACGTTCAACATACGTACATACAGGGCCACGCATTGGCTCAGCTTGGGTGTGCAAGTGGCAAAGGGGTTTCATGGGGAGTCTGCAAGGTGTGTGAACGGCGTTTGGATGCGGCCCCTGAGGCTTGGGTACCTGCTGCAGCAGCAGTCGCGAGTCCATCTTGTGGCCGGGCTGCCTCCTCCACCTCGTTGTCAGCGCATCCTGAAGGGACTTTATTGTGCTCTGCAAATCTTTAAAGTAGTATCTGCACATGGCACAAACAACAACAACCGCTGTTCGTCTATAAGTGGTGGTGTGATCATAACAGTACTTGTGTCAGGCTAGGTGCACCTTGAGGTCATGTGAAGTGTCAAGGGCTGTGGGTGGCTAGCACCACGGCCGGCTGTCTTGGTCTCCCTCGTGGTCGATGTTTACACACCGCACCAGGTACTCATTTAAGGCTGAGTCGACCTACGGGAGGCCCAGGACTGGTTCAGATAATCATCACTGATGTTGGCCGTGAGCAGGAATCAAACTCGGCCCACTAGGTTTGTTGCGCAGCGCATTAACCGCTACACCACCGCTTCTCACACAAAGATAAAGATCCCCCATATAGTCTGAACAGACTGTAGGGGCAAGTGCTGTTAGCAAGCACCTATAAAGGCCGGCACAGCACACGAGGGGGTGGGTGGCCAACACCACGCCCGACCGCCTTTGTCTCCCTAGTGGCAATGTTTAACCCACTGCACCAGGGACTCATTGGAGGCTAAGTCGACCGAGGGGAGGCCCACGATCAGTTCAGATAATCGTCACTGGTGTTGAATCTAACCCAGGCCGCCAGGTTTGTAATGCAGCGAGCTAATCGCGACACCACCACATGCAACACACACACGCTGACAGATACACGCGTGGCAAGCATGCACACGCATGCAACCCACACGCACAGAATTTGCGGAGCTGCCGTTTGTGCCAAAAGCGGGAGGATGGGAGCTCACCTCACTCTGACGAGCAGATAGACGATGCAAGCGAGCAGAGCAATCAGCAGCACGATGATGGAAATTGCCAATCCGAGCACCTTCCAGCTCACGTGCCCCGAGGCTGAAATGCAACGTTGCGACGATGTAAACACAGCAGAGGCTCCGACCACGCTCTCTCCAGTGGTGTACAAGCGCGAGTAGCAGGGGCCATGGTACAAGGAATAAAATGACCCTCCACATAACCCACCCCACCTGTGTCATAACACTGAGATGCTCATTAGCAATAGTTTAACTGTTACATACCCTGCTGATGAGGCTCCGTGAAGTCGAAACCAATCCATCAGCGCCTCATTAAAAAAAAACCCATGACTGCCACAGCATGGGGAGTCCTTCATCCAGTGGTTGATAGATGCATGGACTAATAATAGCAGCATTATATTACAAGGGAATGATACGGATCTTTTCTATAAGAGTGAGCGTGTTGTCACCACAGCAGTGACAAGCCAGTTCAGACTCTGAAGGTCTTAGATTAGAATCCGGGTCAGGTCAATAAATCATCCTTCAAGGGTCAATAAAAGACGTACTATATTTGTGGTAATCTTACAATGTGATTTTTGGTCTTTGTGATAGGAATGAGTAATTTCCACCAGTGGCTCAGGACCACCAACAGAGATGAGCTCATCGGAGCACTGAAGCACTTTCAACATTGGGTCAAGCTGTTTCTGCGTGTGTGTGCACGTGTGTGCGAGTGCGTATATGTATGTGCAGTAGTGTAGCTGTTAGCGTGCCGAGCTACAAATCCGGCGACCCACGTTCGATTCCCGCTCACGGCCAACACCAGTGACGACTATATGAACCGGTCATGGGCCTCTCCTAGGTCAACTCAGCCTCAAATGAGTACCTGATGTGGTGTGTAAACATCACCACTGGGGAGACAAAGGCGGCTGGGCGTGGTGTTGGCCACCCACCCCCTCGTGTGCCGTGCCGGCCTTCATAGGTGCTCGCGAACAGCACTTGTCCAAACAGTCTGTTACAGGTTATACGGGGGATCTTTGTATTTTTTATGTATGTGTGTGGGGAGCGGTGGTGTAGTGGTTAGTGCGCTGCGCTACGAACCTGGGGACCCGAGTTCGATTCCCACTCACGGCCAACACCAGTGACGATTATCTGAACTGGTCCTGGGGCTCCCCGAGGTCGACTCAGCCTCAAATGAGTACCTGGTGAGGTGTGTAAATATCGCCTTTGGGGAGAAAAAGGCGGCTGGGCGTGGTGCTGGCCACCCGCCCCCTCATGTGCCGTGCCGGCCTTCATAGGTGCACGCTAATAGTACTTGTCTCAAAAATCTGTTAAAGCTACACGGAGGATCTTTGTCTTTGTGTGTGCATCGGAAGCTGTAGTGTAGTGGTTAGAGCGCTGCACTATGAACCTGGCGACCCAAGTTCGATTCCCGCTCACGGCCAACACCAGTGACGACTATCTGAACTGGTCCTGGGTCTCCCCTAGGTCGCCTCAGCCTCAAATGAGTACCTGGTGCAGTATATGAGCATCACGACTGGGGAGACAACGGTGGTCGGGCATAATGCTGGCCATCCACCCTCTGATGTGCCATGCTGTGCCGGCATTAATAAAAAAGTCTGTAAAGGCTACAACGGGGGGCATTTTTAAGTGCTTGCCACAGATGAACCATAATACCTTGCTGATCTGGTCAAGGAGCATAAACAAAAAGTCTGTTAAGACTATACGGGGGATTTTGTCTTTTGTGTGCATGCGCCCCTCCTCCTACTCATAACGACTTTTAACTCGTAGGATAAAAAACATTCGTGGTCGTGCCATGAGTGTAATGCGTCAGTAAATTTACTGCGCTGAGTTGCGAGTTATTTGTGGCAAGCATCGCTGGGGAGTCGCCATGCACTCTAACATCTTAGGAGAAAGATGAATGTGCGTTACAGGCGGCGGTTCGGGTCGTAAAATTCCACAAACAAACAAAACGGCGACTGGGTCGTGCTCATTTCTGTCAGTTACTTCTCAGTACTATCTGCAAAAAGTCCACACTCCTACAATGAGAACCATATTCTGATGTCGCGTTGGAATCACTTTGGCGAAGCGTGGCCCCTTGTCCGACTCTTCGTCTGAAATGTGCTTTGGGTGGTTTACTCGTGCAGTCTCAGTGTAGCTGATACACGATTGTAAAAAATAAATTCTGAAGGAGAGACATCTCATACAGGGTCAAATAGATGTCTTGAGTCAAAACTTAGTTCCATGTCCCCGGGTCATTCCCGGAGAGATGGCATCCTAGAATCTCACCCAAATCCAGAAGAACGCTAGCGAACAGAGTGGAACGCATACGTCGAGAATAAACACCTCATTAGAGACCCAAACATCGCACCTCCTGGCTTTGACATTCCTCTTCGAAGACACTGGCGTAACCATCAACATCACCAGAACATCAACATCTCCTTCATAAATGGAAAAAAAATGTGACAAAAGCTACAGTAATACAATTGTGGTCACAAAACCAAAACTATTAACCATACAGTAAACCACGATAGTCTGTGCTCCTTCAACAGAGGAGGCATCACACAACTACACCAACTCTCTCCTGAAGCCCTTTCGTGGTGAGCAGACCTCAACATCGCCATCGACCTCCTGCACACATTGCTACTGACATACACAAGAACATAACAGAATTCCCGATGAGAACTTCTGCTGAGATTGACAGGCATATCTCTAAATCGTGACCCTGACGGTACAGATGGGATGTACTGTATTGTCTACTATCATGTTTTTTGTACTCTACTATGTGTTTGTTGTTGTAACGTTCTTACCTGTCCCTACTGGACATCTGTGAAAAAAAGAGCTCCACAGCTCATCGGATTCCTCCAGTAGAAATAAATATTCTGACTAAGCGAAAATAGTGTACAGTACAGAATTGGTTGTTCTATACGTATGATGTATGTGTGTGTGGGTAGCTTTGTGATGCAGTGGACCCCACTACCAAACTGGGGACCTGAATTCAAATCGCAGCCACTGCTAACATCAGTGGTGAGTGATATCAGAAACGGTCCGAGGGTTTACTCAGCCTTACATGAGTGGCTGGTATTATGCATAAGTACAATCACTTGGGAGGCAATGGTGGCTGAACATATTCCCGGCCAAACCACCCCTTTGTGGTGCCGGCAAAACTACCCCTTTGTGGTTGTTGCAAATAGTAATTGTCCCAACACCTTATAAAGACCATATGGAGGATCTCGGTCTTTGATTTTCTACTTTGTGGTGTATGCGTGTGCTACTGCACTCTGAGGCCAAGTGGCATGGCAAAGGTTCATTGGCAGGTCAAAAGACAGACGCAGGTGATAACCTTTGGTCCGTTCCGTGACCTCCCTGCGGGCCGTCAATGCTACATGGTGGTCTGAGAGTGCACGTAGCACTGCAGTGACACCACCAGCATGTTGCGGTAAATGCCGGTTATTACTGTTTTGTGTGTTTGTGAGTGTACGCGCGCATGTAAACTAAATGCTCTTTTGACCATAATCCTAAAAAGTACTCTTCTATTTTTTCAAAAATTAATGCGGTCTAATTCAATGTTCAACATTCATGGCCACGGCTTAGGAATTACGAACCATTTAATAGATTAATACCACGATGATGAATTTGCACAGCTGGATAGGCTGATGGTTGGCATGCTCCCACTTACCCAATTTCTACAATTGTTTCCCACTCAGGCCAACCTGGAATATTTTTAGCCGGCCAGATGGCTCAGTGGTGGAGTCAGCGGCTCCGCATCAGAAGGTTGCGAGTTCAAATCCTGGTTGGGTCAATACAAATAATACCACTTTTTACTATGGGTAGAATGTATAATTTCCACCATTGGCCCAGGGCTCATGTGAGCAGGAAATCATTTTGATATCTTGTAATTTTAACAGGAAATTACCATCAGCAGATCGCCGGTTTATATCGCAACGAGCAAACTATTGCAACACCACTCCACCCCAAATGCCTCTACCCAGAGCTTTCAGCCGGGTCAGTCTGGGTCAGCGATCCAGAACATATTTCCACACCCAGCACACGACATTATGTATATCTCTCCTCACTATGGCTGTGGTTGTGGTCACTTGCCACCTACTCCAGTCGACTAGTAACCTGGAAAACATCCAGTGAGAAATTAAGCCCATGCCTCCACTATTATAGCTGGTAAAGGCAAAGGCGAAGCCCTTCAATTGTTTGCTCATGCCACTGCTGAGAATAGGGCCTCCACTCCTGGCAGCTTTAGAGAGCCTCTCTAGAGAGCATTTTGGCCTACTCCTCCACTCTAGCCAGGCATCTTGGGAGTGGTGTGGGCACCCATACATTATCCCACGACACGCGACCTGCCGATCAACTGGTTCCACGATTATGAACTACAAAACGCTAATAAATGCATTGCCTTAAGTGGTGCATTATTATAATGCAACTGACAGAAACCGAAAATTTTAATTAACAGATTTCCCAGGACAGCTTTTTCAACAAGAGGACGACCTTAGGAAAACCAGGAGAGGTGGCCATAGTCAAAGGGCCAGAGCAGAAGGTAGTACAGTAGCACATAAGGCAGCAGATTTATCTTGGTGGCTCATGAGAGTGCATCACTTGAAAATCACACTCGATTCAAGTGGCTATCACACAATTAACTACTTTTGGCCACGTATAAGAAATTGGAACTGCTAAAGTTATGCTGCAACACCTCTGGTGACACCGACAAGTGAAAAGGTCAGAAACCTGCGGCTCCGGAACGGCATGTGGCTCTTTAAGGCCTGTAGCACAGCTCTTGAAATTCGAAAATTAATGGCCGTTCTTGTTATTTTGGTTGCCAACCCATGACCATGGAAGTCCAGTTCACCACGGAAGTCCAGTTTACCATGGGCAGGGGTCAGCAACCTGCGGCTCTGGAGCCTCGTGCGGCTCATTATTTATTAAGAACCGTCTTAAATTCACGTGAATGGCGGCTCTTGAATTTTTACCGAATCGGAAAAAAATGGCTCTTCTAGTTGTTTTGGTTGCTGACCCCTGGGACAAGTGCAATACAGCATCTGCACCGTGCTCATGGATCACAACGATAGTTGCTGCTGGTAAAGGATCGATACTATAACTCACAATGGACAGCCTGTTGTTCCTGGCAGAAGTCCCCGATGTAGGGTGGCGAGCAGACACAGCGAAATCCCAGCGACCCGTGATTGTCCGGAACGCACGTCGCCTTGTTCTGGCACGGATTCAGGTCGCAGCCCAATTTCACCTCGTCCGCATCATCTGTGAAACGCCATCACCACCATCATCAGCCGCCAAGATCATTCCACTGCTGGATGTGGGCCTCCTCAAATCTCTCACGAACCTGCGATTCAACATCCCCTATATAGCCTTCACAGACTATTGGGTCAAGTGCTGCTAGCGAGCACCTGCGATGGCTGGAATGGTACACGAGGGGGGTGGCCAGCACCACGCCCGACCGCCTTTGTCTCCCTAGTGGCGATGTTTACACACCGCACCAGGTACTCATTTGTGGCTGAGTCGACCTGGTGGCCAGGTTCTTAGCGCCGCGCGCTAACCACTACACTACCGCCCCCCGTCTAGTCCAACCCAGCACCTGCACACGAACTGATGTCATCACTCCCACGTCCTCGGTGGGTGTCCTGTGGGGACGCGTTACAAAGCCTTTGGCTGCCGATATTATTCTTGACCATCGTTCGGAATCCCTTAGAAACAATGGTTCTTCATTGCAAGGCCCCTGACGCACCCGATCATCATCATCGTCGTCTGGCTGCTGTCAATCACCGATGGTTGAACTGATAATCAATGAAGAGCACTCACTGCCTTGTAACCTTCCAGGCAACAGGCGTGCGTTCTGTCGTCCATACCCCTCCTCTTTCGATCTCTTAAGTCTAAAGTCAAGCGCCCCCCCACCTCCTCGCTCAATGTTCCTTTGCAAACACTTCACCGCGAGACAAAAAGGCTGAAATCAAATCCCCAACGCAGAGGCGGAGAAGTGCCGTGAGGGCGCCACCCCCGGGCTTAAAACACCCCGTCAGAATCATCACCACCACCGCCACTGCGCAGTCTCTCTCCGCTGCTCGTTGGTACCTGCAAGCCTATCGAGCTCCTGTCCGTAGTAAGCGTCCGCGGGTGCTACCAACAACGACGCCAACAGCGGCAGGAGCATTGGAAGCTGCTGGGAGATCAATTGCTGGAAACCAGCTTCCAGACTTGACCATTTGACGCCGCTGACATAACGGACCCAACGTGTCCGCCTCGGGAGTGTGATTGTGAGAGGGGTTTAATGGTGTAGTCGCCGGTTAAGCTATTCGTATGCTAGTTTTGATTTATTTTTAATTATCCTCAACGGATGCTTCCGTTGTTGTTGTTGCTGTTTGTTTTTAAAAACTCACGTTGGCCGCACGCGCCCACGCACGTGTTTCGCAAGGACGCGGACATTGGCCGTTGATTCGCCCGAGCGGCTTATTCGCAACCTGCAGTCTGAAGTTGGCGCCTTATTCGCGGACGAGATTCGAACTTGAAGACGACTCCGCCCGCCGTTGCCGATCATTGCTACAACGCTGTGGGCTCTCATCTCTGTGATATTGTCTTTTCCGAGACCAAGGTGCTCTGCAAACCTTCTGGCTACCATCAAAGGTTTGCACACGAAGCCATCCAGATATATAAACACAGACATAACTTCAACCGTGATGATGGGTACAAACTGAGTAATCATTGGAAAGATGGTATTAACCATGCAAAAAAGATTTAGCTACACATTTTTGGACCATCTTATATAACAGGTACTATTCTACTTTACCAAGTGTTGACATCCCCAGCGTTTAACAGCAACTCTCCTTTTTGTATTTGGATTGTCAACCAACACCAGGTAAAACAACAACATGTGCACCTATTGGTCTCTTTTAGCCCCCCCCCCCCCAACACGTTCCATTCATTGGCTGCCACATTCAGATAAGCCCCTCCCCCCTTAGCTTGTATTTAAGAGCTTGGAATTTTGCCTCACTTGATACAGTAAATCTAGCTGTGACGGTCCCACCTGATGACGGAGACTTGTGTTGCCTCCGAAACGTCGTGATTTATAATTGTATTTCTATTATTATTTCGATTATTTTATATTTATTATTTATTTTTACCTACGTGACTTTACCGAAAAAACCTAAGAGTTTGAAGACGACTCCCCCCCCCTGCCCCACTGTTCTTCCCGCATTCGCCCACCCAATGGGAAGAGGCAGCGCGCGCATGACGTCACTGTTTGAACGCCCGATTGCTGTCCACGTGGATACTCAAGTGCGCACATGACGCCACTCCGTTATAATTCGTGTCTATCGGCCATCCTCCCTTCGAACAAAGGGTCCTGTCCAAGCCGTAAATAGCAAATTTCGTGGATAATGATATTGGCCTTTTAAATGAATTACCTTAAATAAATACATAAATAACACTGTAACAAAAAAAATACCGTATTAATTTTTTGTTCCTGGGTAGTAAGTGTTATTTTCCAATTGCTTATGCCTCAAAAGTACATAAAATGCTATTATTCCCCACAAACTTTGCTTTTGTGACCAGGACAGTGATATTTTGAAATTTACCTATCTTCAACGAGAAAACGTGGTGTGCATTTGTGTCATTCCTTCGCATAAAGTCCTGGTCACAAAAGCAAAGTTTGTGGGTAATAATAGACATTTTCTATACTTTTGAGGCATAAGCAATTAGAAAATAACACTACCCAGGAACAAAATTCGTGTTACATAGTGTATTCTTGGTTCTTTCGGTAAAGTGACGTAGATTAAAAAATGCAATTAAACAATTTTTTTGAAAATAATAAAAGCAAAAAACCCACGACGTTTCAATCGCAACACAATCGGTCTTCATCAAGCGGAGAGAAAAGAGGGGGCAAGCCTCTAAATGCAGCTGCTTATGAGGGTTTCCAAAGTGAGTGGGCGGAGGACGAGAGTTGCGAGGAGATGCTGTGTGCGTGAACAGCACGGGCGGGGCAGCCAGTCAGCCAGTGCCAGTGTAGAGTAGACAATGGGGGAGCAAGGGGGTAGAGATAGGGGGAGAGAGGGGGGGGGGGGCAGAGATAGGGGGAGAGAGGGGGGGGGGCAGAGAGATAGGGGGGGGGGCATTGCACCTCGTTACACACACCCACACTGCTGACGGTAGAGGTTGACAAGAAAACACAAATCAAGTCATGACCCAAAGTGGTTGATGAAATTTTTCCAATGATTGCTGAGTTTATAACCGTCGTCAGAGATAGGGGAGAGAGGGGGGGGGCAGAGAGATAGGGGGGGGGGGGCATTGCACCTCGTTACACACATCCACACTGCTGACGGTAGAGGTTGACAAGAAAACACAAATCAAGTCATGACCCAAAGTGGTTGATGACATTTTTCCAATGATTGCTGAGTTTATAACCGTCGTCTCGGTTGAAATTGTGTCTGTATATATGGATGGCTTCGTGAACGAATCTTTGTTGATAGCCAGTCGGCTTGCAAAGTACCATCGTCTTAGAGAAATACATTTCATGTGAGCCAGCCGCATTAAAGTAATGATCAGCCATGCCTTATGTTCACGAACACGGTCCGAGACATGTCGTTTAATTTCCCCAATGTAACTGCTGCCGCAGATACAGCTTAGTTTCTAGACGCCGGGATATTGCATGTCAGGAATCTTGTGGGATCAGATCACGAATTTTATGCACTGTGTTAAATCTGACCTGGATCTTGTGTTTGTTCAAGATTTTGGAAATAGTTTGGTGATCCCTGCTATGTAAGGCAAGGTGATGGTTTTGATTGGATCTTCAGATGGCTCCTTCCTCACGGTTGGGGTGATGGTTTTGTGGATTGTGTAGTCAGAATATCCATTCGCCTTGAGAGCCTGGTGTACGTGTTTGAGTTCACTGGTCAGATGTTCATGGTCGGATGTACATTGAGCTCTATGGTCTAGCGTTTTGATGTGGGAAATATTCTGGGATAGATGGTGGTGGGAATCAGGTTTTAGGTAGGCGTCAGTATGGGTTACTTTCCTGTAGACAGAGTGGCTCATTGAGCCATCTGGTCACTTTTGTATTTATTTACACGCTTTCTATTAACTCACTCTGTCTGTTGTTGTTGTTTTCTCAAATCTTGTAACTCTATTTTAACCCACTTCCCAATGTGGTATCGACTGCAAACTTGGTATACTTATGTCATACTGATGACAATACTATTCTATAATATAATTTAAAAAAATTAAACATTATTTTTTATATTTTATGTTTCGGCTTGGGTCTAATTGTCCACGCTCAACTAACGTTGGCTGTAAATCACCACGGTCCCTTACTTTATGGCAAGCTTCGGGAGTCGTGGAGTTCTGCCATTACTCGTACGGTACATTTCATTAAAGCGTGTTTTTTTTTTCAATATTACTTATTGATTAAGACATCTTAAAAAGGTAGCATGCCATCCTTTTCTACCTCCATGGTGAATTTGATTGCTGGGTGTATAGAATATACAGTGTAATCGATGAATTACATGAATATTATCATGACACAAAAAAGTTATAATAAACTTAAATACATTAATATTAAGGTATTAAATTAACTTCCCTTAAATTGTGATGATGCTGTGCATCATAACTTTATCTCATCACTTTATCTCTCATCACTTTATCTCTCATCACTGTATCTCATCACTTTATCTCATCACTTGCTCTCTATCTCGATGCAGTCGTGTAGGGTTCCAGATGCGATTCGCAGATATCCAAAATCGCAGATCGCAAGTTTGTGAATAACGAGGGAATACTGTACATACACGATAGCACCAAAAATAAACGGCTTTACTCTAATAATGAATAAATACTCAAAACTGAGCAACAACACTGTATAGAACATTGTGGTGTATGACGTTAGGTGGTGCTGTAAATACCATCAACAAAATAAATATTCTGCAATATATATCCTGCGGTCTGTTCCTCCAAGTACAAAAATAAAAGTAATGGCGATATTCCATAACCCTTCAGTATCAAATTAGGGACTCCTTTAAAGATAGGGTCCTTGCCTATTACACCTCGTTCACCAGGATTGATACGAGCAAGCCTGGCTGCTGATGAGACAGGGCTCTATTGTATGTAGAACTTCTTTCGCACCGTACGTAATATTGAATCAATGCCACAGAAATGATGCACTCACGGAAGGCAGTTGTCCCGATGGTTTCTGTAAGAAACACTTTTAGTTCTTTTTTTATGTGGAAGGATATTGTTTAACTAATTTGTTCTTCCAACTCTCAGGAACGATGTGATTGTCTGCGTAAATAATTGGATAAACCACAATGATATGTACCGTAACAGGAAGGAATGTGTGTATTGACACATGTGCAGGTGCTGGGCGCCACGGTGGCGAGATGTTAACTACCTCGCCTGGTATACAGGAAGTTGTGGGTTCGATCCCGACCCTGACGCCTGTATATTTGGAGTTTGCGTGTTCTCCCCGTGGTCGCGAGATTTGTCTCCGGGTCCTCAGGGTTTTTCCTTCTAGACATGTGTTTAGAGTACTGTATTTGACTGCTATATATTTCCACGTAATAAGCCACTTCGTTGAGCTATCATTTGTGGCCAGGTCGCTACTGAAAACGAGTTATGTAGCTCAGAGGGCCTTACCTGGTAAAATAAAAATGGTTTAGTAAAAAAAATAATGGTAAACGGATGACAATGAGGGGTATTAACCCAGGGCTTCATTTCAACCTGGTCTGTTTAAACATCGAGTCTGCTTCTCGTGCTAGCCTTGCAATCTGGCCAGGGGGCTCAGCAGTAGCGCCAGCGCCTCACAATCGGACGGTTTTCAAGTTCACATCTTGGATGGGGGCTGAGTTGACCCACCACTACACTGGTGTCCATAGAAAATGAGTACCACTTTGTGAGAAAGTTGTGATACGGTTGTTTTTTAATAAAAAAAATACTCGCCCCCGTCATAAAATGTGGATTTTACACCACTGGCTCAGAACTGTAAACAGGAGATAAGTACCACCTCAATGCAAGGTCATTTGAACAGGAAATCACTGACTTTCTTTTTATACAATTCGTGTGATTACTCCATCCAGTCTACCGGCGACTTGGGAAAATCAGTGAGAAACTAAGCCCGGCATGAACTGATTTGCCTTTGGAAGATATCCCGTAATTTAAAAAAATATCAAGACAGGTTGCTGAGCTTGGACAGGAGGGCAAACTCAAATTTAGCACCTCCGATTAGCACGGTTGGCCACGTACGGCGCGAAAGAAGTTTAACATACATACAGTACATACATGAGATTAGCTTAATAAAATGTAAAGCATATCCTGAAGCTGAAAATTGTAGTTTGCTCGGTACCTAAATCTGATCTCAATTGGCTACACAGCAAAAACCAAAAACTTCACTACAGTTTCATGGGTTTGTGCTGTGGA